CTTACCTTAATGTGTTCTCCTTTCATATATACTACCATATTATTGTCTTATAACTCAATTTTATACGTTTTGTGAGGTTTTAATTTCTTTAGTTTTGATATTTTTTAGAAGGGTTTGTTGTGAGATTTTTTAGAAGGGTTTGTTGTGAGGAAGATTTTTTAGAAGGGTTTTTGGGGAGGGAGAAGAAGGAGGTGGAGAAGGAGGGAAATGGTTTTTTGAGTTTTTGATTATTTGGTATTTAAGAAAGAAAAATAGTATTTGTAATATTTTTTTAGTTTTAATTTCATTAAGGGTATTAAAGTAATTTACAATTAATTATTTATTTTTTATTTTTTTGGTATTCAAGTAAGCAAAAGTTGGGATTTGAAATAGTGATCCCCTTATATAAATAGTATTATTATTATTATATATATTAGCCGCCGGCGGCGCGTGTTTTTTAAACAAAGTCCCAGTTACTGAGGGGCCAAGAACTCTCTCTGTGCGGCTCTGATTTTTTTACGCCTTTTCTTTTTTTTTTTTAAACAGCATATTTAAAAAAAAAAAAAGTCCCTCTTGTTTGGGCAACTATGCATTTTTTATACATCCAATCTTACAGTGTTAAATTTACATGCTAATTTTTTTTCACAAGACAATTGATAGTTAAGGAAAGTGGTTCTAATTATCGAAACAAGTGGGGTTGTTGATAATTTGACCATACCTAATGAAGGTGGCCGTGATTTGCCCTTACTTAACTGTTGTCTATTGCCCTTTTTCTCTTTTTCTTTAATCAATTTGAAAATTTTAGTTTTACTCCTTCTCGTAGAATCTACACCTGGTGAAATACACTTTTTATTTATACACTATTGATTACACATAATAACACACACTCATATGTATGTATGCTTAATAAATAATTATTTATACAGATCTACAGTTTAAAATCACATAGTATAAGCCATTTTACTCGACTCGTAAAAGGAAACCACATGCTACAGTGACGGGAGAATATTCAATTGTGAAATCCTTTTTTAGGTGGAGATTCCGAGAGCTACAAGCCTACAACAAACCGGTCAAGAGAGCAATTTTAATTTTTCACCTAACCCCTCTACTAATTAATGCTATCTTGATGATCACCACCACCCCCTGTTAATCTTGAATTGACCAGTCAATGTTTATATTGTTTTCACCCTTAAAGTATAGGGTTGGTAACACTTACACCTTAAAGTTACAGATGTAACATTTACCCCCTCATTAAAGAATTTAATAGTAAAACTACGACTTTGAATGAGGTGAAATTTTTTCTTCCCAAAATATCGTTCTAGCCATTATATAAATAATGAATATGTAATAATAAAAAAATTCGGCAACTTGATTTTATTATTTCAGTATCGTAAATTTAAGAATGAAAAGAATTGAATTTTAGTTTCATTTTTGTTTCACTTTATGTTCATTTGTAGCTAATACAAAGTTAACAATTATTCGAATTTTAATTATATTTTTTTAGTTTATATAGTTATTTTACTGAATATATGACTCTTATATAATCATGCCATTTTTTACTTTGAGAATCATAAAATGTATTCAAAAGTTAATAAAAATCCTAATTAGAACGTCTAAATATTTAAATATTTTTTTATTGAAATTTAAATTTAAGTAACTGAAATAAATTTTCAAATCAATAATTATTATAAAAAAAGTCGGACGTTTAAGTCTTGAAAATATTTTTTTTCTTGCAAATGTTTAACGTATTTTATATATTTTTTAAATAATTGAGATTTTTAATAGCAATTAAAATGTGGAGTTAAACATAAATCAAAATAAATTTTTTAATATTTATTATATTTTATAAAATTTAGTTTTATAAATATTATTGAAAATATATTATTATATATGCATCAATATAATAGCTAGAAGGACAATTTGGGAACAAAAATTGCCACATCATTCAAAGTCAAAGTTTTACCATTAAATTCATTAATGATGAAGGTAAGTGTTACATTTGTAACTTTAAGGAGTAAGTGTTACCAAACCTATACTTTAAGGGTGCAAACTGTATTTAACCCTTTAAATAATTATGACACTTCTTAGTGGCAAACTATTTCTTGATGGATTAACTGATTGTTGTATAACTTCTTCGACTTCTTTGATATAATTTGATAAAGAAGGAGAGTGGACAAAGTCAGTCAAGTAAATACTGTTTTAAGTAAAATAAAAACATAACTAGTTGAGAATTAAATAATCTACATCACCCTGATTTGAAACTCACCGAGTCAAACTCGTGCAATGACTGGCTGCTCCCCAAGAATTCAAGGCTGCACAATTTTTCAATGCGCACATGCATATAATACTACCAACATAAAAAAATTAAGGATGATGGATGCAATGCAGCAGAATAACAGCATGATTAAAATATAGCAATACAACGGCTTCCTCACCACTTTTACGTTATTTTCTCACGCAAAGTCGTGTCCAAAATCCTATGTATCCCTATGGTGTGTGTCGAGTTGATCTCTTTAAAGCACCATATCTGCACACAAAAAAAAATAACCCTTCAGCTTTTATTTCACACACACACACACACACACTGGAATAGATGTATCACATTGACGGCAAACATTACTGGTTCATTACCTCATTTCCCGACACGGCAAAAACCATCTTGCATGGCAAAGTTAGTGACAGAAGAGGGACACATCTGGCATAACAATTTCAAATGAACTCCAAATAGACTCTGCCTCAGTGAGTTGGAATATATATGCAGGTATCAGTTCGAGTCGAATTTGGACATAATAAATTAACTTTAGTATAAGCACTAGGAATCGATCAGTGAGGTCTAGGATTGAAGAGTTGGTTCTGGTAAAAATGTGGGGCCGCCTCTGTTAGCCAAGAGGGATCGATCGATATCACATTTCTCATGTATCGACGATCTGTTGACACAATTGAATGGAAGATTACCCACTTTGGATTAACCCTGCAATAAATTATATACGAGGGCATGTCAACTTATAACCTTTTCTTCAGGGAAAAAAAAAACCGATCAAGTAAAATGTAACACGTTTAATTAATTAGTATTAGCACTAACAAATGATTGAAAAAAGTATGAACTCATACATAGCTGTATTATCCTATTCTTACTCCTATGAATTTAGAATTCAGGATTAGGAAAATCAGATTTCGGACCGAGAAAATCAGCTTATTGAGAGTTCCTTAAAACTTTATTTTAGAAAGTCAATGGTCAGATCCACAAGCAATTGAGGAAGGGCATATTATCCTATTCTTACTCCTGCGAATTTAGATTTAAGGGTTAGGAAAATCAGATTCTGGACCGAGAAAATTAGCTTATTGAGAGTTCCTTAAAACCTTTATTTTAGAAAGTTAATGGTCAGATCCACAAGCAATTGAAGAAGGCCATCATCGCATAAGTTATTGCTCGCCTGTTGTGTTTCAATTTCTTCTTAATTATTATTTTTTTTTTGCATTGAATTTCTAGTCAATTATCACATGTTTACGATATCTCAAATTTTGATAATCAATTAAGTTATATAACATCTAACAAAACACGTATTTGCATTAATATATCCTTAAATAATAGTCGAATAACATGAATAATGGAGCATGGTGTCAGAGATATAAACTGACCTGAATAGTACAGAAGAAGGATGAATGTAAACTTCCTGTGAACTTCTTATAGTCTTGTATAGCCCGTTATGACTGAATGCCTTTTAACAAAATAAGCAACATATACTAATCAAATTAAGCTAACAGGCCAATATAATTTTCAACTATACCAAGTTGGTTTTCAACGGTAAGATGTTAAGACATTTGCATTTAGATATAATACTCACTTCTAAACGACAAGCATTAGCAAAAAATCCAGCAGTAACTGCCTTCCTCACTACCTGCAGAATTAAAATAAAACAGAAACACTTTGTTTAGAACCAAACACAAGGTACTGCTTGTTATTTAAAAAAAAACAGGGGGGTGGCGGAGATAAAAGCAAGCAATTCAACGTCCTTATATACTTACCTCCATATCACCTTCGCAAGATTTTAGAGTGATACCTAACCGTTGTGCAACTCTTCTCAGCTGTTGTCGGATTTCATCAACTTTTTTCTGCAGAGAAACCAAAAGAATATCTAAAACGTGCACATTGAAAACGAGACAATTCAATATTGCAGATGAATTAAGACACTCACCATGGCATGGTAATTTATATGGTTCTTGTGACACCAGTTTGAAGATTTACGAGACTCGATAAATCCTCTGTACACGTTTAAGAAGGTAACATGATCACCCTGCAAAAAAAGCAATGATGTTTGTATTATGAGTATATAAATTGCTAGACTATTATTAAGAGCACAGCATGAGATAAAAATTCTACCTTAAATGACCTTTCAAAGGTGTAAAAGAGTGATCTCACATTTATTGAGCACAACCAAAATAATATTATATTAAATGCATATTACGGAGGAATATGGCAGAACAGGGTGGACAGAAACGCACCTCAGCAGCAGCAAATCTCAACTTGGCTTCATCCAACTGCTTTTGCACCCCCCTAGCAGAAAACCAGATAGACTGCATAGTAAACAAGAAAAAGGATGAAACCGATAATTAACAAAATGAACAACTTAAAATGTTTTATTACTACAAATAAAAAAATCCTTAGGCTGTTACTTTATAGATATAAATCAAGAAAATCTAAAAATTGTGAACAGTATCGGGCTGTTACTTCATAAAAACGACAATTAGTGATAAATTACTTTGAAGATGCAGAATAATGTTCAGAAGAAAAGTTGCGAAAAGAGATGATAAACCTGTACTGACAGAACAGCAGCGATAGTGATGACTTCTTCAGAACAACCATAATCATTTGAAGCTAAAATCATTTTGGAAACCATCGGATCCTGCAAGAGTACATTTACTTAGAACTTGAAGTAGAAAACACGTTTTGCATAGCTAGACCGACATCGTTAGCAAACGAACTAACTGAGGCTTAGTTCTTAAAGTGTAGCTTTAACTTCAAATCTACAATGAGCAGCCACAAAAGTGACAGGCACACGACACTATAAGTGAAAATGTTCTATTGATCACCCATTTCAGCGAAGTCTTGGCATAATAAGATAAAACACCACGAGAAGTACTGCAGAATTGTATGACCCTCAATAATTTATCGATCATTGAAAAAAGAGATAAGGAGATTGGATAACAAAGACATACCACCGGAATCTCTGCAACCTGGAATCCAGCAGGAGATGTAAGTTTTGCATCGTCATCAAGAACTCCAAGAGAATACAATACTTCAAGTGCTCTGATGAGTGCTTCAGGGGAGGGTGATGCTGGCCAATCGAACCCCAAAATATTGTCTATCCCCAAGGCTTTTAACTATCAAAAGAGAAATGCAAAACAGTCACCATCAAATACTCCAGATGTAGTTCATAAACTGCAAGTGAGTCGAGCTGGTCAAGTGAGGATCGAGTCAAGTTGAATGTAAGAAAAAAAATAAAGTTATAGCTTATATCAGAAGGCCTATAAAAATTATATTGACAAACAAGGATGATAACTACATCTGGAGAAAATATGAAACTCCATCGCTGATTTTTAACTGCAGCTAACTAAGAACTTAGAGAACTATCCCTCACTAACAAAGATACCGCATGCATATGTTCTCCATCTTGCCATAGTGTTAAGACCAAGTAAAGGATATTAGGAGGTCAGCCTCAAGAGTGAACTCAATTTTCAGAATTATACAATATACACATACCTGAATTACACAGGAAACTAGATTTGACCTCTGCATCTCCGGAATACCATCAGCAGACATCTCATTTATAAAATATTCTTCTGTGTAGAGCCTGTTTAAGGTGAAGAAAAATAAATAAAATAAATAAATAAAAACAGAAAATTCAAATTATCATTTACGGAATGATGATAAGTATAACTGGTCTGTGATAACGTGAGTTTCTAATTCATCTCAATCCTCTTCCACGGCTGATAAACCACATTAGTAATGCACAGAAAGGGCAGAAAGTTATGCATATCCTTCTACATTCCTTCTTCATATTTAATTTACCCATTTGATTAGTTAATTGGAGGTTATGCAATTACAACTAGACATCATACTAGAGAAAAATGACAAAAATCAGAGAATAAACAACCGTTTAGTATTGTAACCGAATAAACATCAGACACGTTTTGATTAGTTCAGTACCTGTAACACTTTCCTGGCCGAACTCTTCCAGCCCTACCAGCTCTTTGCCGCGCAGAAGCCTTAGATATTGGTGCCACGACCAAATTTTCGATATCAGTCATCTGTTGCAAAGTCAACAGGAGTTCATCTTTAACATGAGAATTCATAAGCTTTTATTCAGTTAGCATGTAAAGTTTACAGAAGTCTGTTAATTCGAAAACCGAATGACAGCAATCATAACTAGTCAAGGAAAAGTTCCACAGAAAAAAAAAGGGAGTGAAAGCAAGAAGAGGACAAGAAACAAATACTGGATTGTAGAAGCATTGCTTCGAGAAACCACAATCAACAACGTAGACAACACCCTGAAAAGAAAATTGTAAAGAGTAAGAAACAAGGGATCGTATTCATATGCCAATTTAATGATGCATGTGCCTCCTATAAGTAAGTAAGTAACCATTTAAGTGTGAAGCTTTTACCTCCAATGTCAAGGATGTCTCTGCAATATTTGTTGAGAATATCACCTTTCTCTTCCCACGAGGAGTAGGAGAAAACACAAGATCCTACAAATAAATCAGAAAAGGAATGGAACATTGAATTTCACAAATCAAGAATTTATTAGGAGAACAAGGATTTCCAGGGAATAAAAATATCAGTAACCTGATCTGCACGAGGCAGTCCAGAATATAGAGGCAAGACAATCAATTCTGCAAGCGAAAAATAAAATAAAATCAAGTAAAGGCAGAATGAAGAAAATGCAGTAAGAATGTAACAAGTTTCAAATCAAGCTATCTTTAATTAAATTATACTGACTATACATGCATAAATAGGTAATCGAAGTCATAAAATACTAACTGCATATAGACAACTTGTGGACAATGTTAAACCATTTGGGATTTATAACCTACCTTGCTTTCTCTTATGTGAATCTTCTGTAAGCAACTGAATTGCAGCATCAATATCATCTTGGCCAGTAAGAAAAACAAGAACATCTCCCATTCGTTCCTAGAAAGACATAGGAGCAAGATCTTATTCAATTTAATATTTATATTTATTTAACTAAAAATATATTATTCTGTTATTTACATCCCAAGTCACAACCCCTTTGGGTCCAAACCAAGAAGTAATCTAATGGAGACTGTGAATCACCTCATCGTGAATAGAAATTACAGTTGAAACTGCCGCTCGGATATAATCTGAAACAGGCTCCTCGGAGTAAAACATTTGCACAGTGAATCCCCTACCCTGCATGTTTGAGACACATTTTTCAGATATCCATAATGTATAATAAGATAAGACACACACACACACACGCACGCACACACACACACACACACACACACACACACGCAGATCACCAGTATCACATACTTCGACGGACAGAATGGCAGGCACTTTCCTTGGTCCATGTTCTTCATCCTCTCGTCCATGAATCCTTCGACTAATTTCACCAAAAACAAGCTCAGTCACTAAGTCAATTCGACACGAAACACTGAATGGACAAGTTCTCATAATTAAGAAGTCATAAAATCTTGAAAGCTTTAGTAATGAATCAAAATCTTATCTCAAATCTAATAGGACAAGTTCTATATGATATTATCATGTCGTGACAAACCTGGCACTGAAAAAAGAAGCCATTGATTTTGCCTCAATTGTAGCGGATGAGATTATAAGACGGAGCTCAGGCCGACGCCGCTGAATCTGTTACCAACAATTAGTTCTAGAAAGAGAATATCACATAACAGAGCAATATATTTAGATTGACCACCAAACACAAAAGGTACCTTTTTAAGAAGACCTAACAAAATGTCTGTTGCAAGAGAACGTTCATGAGCTTCATCAACCATGATTACACTGTCAGGCCAAAATCTAGAGGTTCAGTATACTAAAGAAGAAACAGCTGAGATCAGACATGCATGCTTATTGATAATTTAAACTGTAATATAGGGTTAAGAGTCATGTGATTGCTTGTGTTTGCACGTGGCTGCTTTCTTTGGCTCCCACGTACATTGCATATAAACAGGCATTCTTAATTTTCACAAAACGTATGAGTTCATCTTTGAAAAGCATAGAACTACCTGTACTTGCTTAACAAAGGATCATCCATCATTTCTCTTAGCAACACTCCGTCAGTGAGAAATTTTATCCTAGTCAGTTCCTGATTACAGAAGAGGAATTATCATTAGTGCTTATCAATATGCATTATAGCACCAAGTTGCTCTTAAAAAAAATTGACATCCTTGCCAAAACAAAAGAAGAAGAAGATGATGAGAAAAGGCATAACTACTCACAGGATTGGTAATATCTTCAAATCGAATTGTGTAGCCAACTTCTTCCCCTAGTTTGACACCCATCTCTTCAGCAACTCTTGAAGCAACACTCTATTGCAAAATAACTTCAAGGTGAATAATAAGTTACAATAAAGTAAGAAAAACATAAAATCAGAAAAATACCTATGACAGTGCAATTAGTTAGGCTACATGTCTAATATCATGGTCGATAAGGAGTAAAAACCACCAAAACTACAAGTAAAAACATAAGTTTCTTAATCACTGTTGAGTTTAGCCCGAGCAAAATAAAAAGAAGACGCCAATTTTTATTCCATAAGATAATTCAAACATAGAAGTAAAGAAACTAAGAGAGAACAACCCAAAGCAGAGATGAACTTATACGTAGGTTTTGATTTGAAACCTAAAAGCATACCGAGAAACCAAAATTCTTAGCAAACAAAACCCTTGCATGCGAGAAAAAAATGGCATACCCTCCTACACTATAGTAATTTATCCCTTTTATTCCATGTGTGTTGACAAACTTGTAATACACTAAGAAAAAAAAAGGATCATACCTGCACAGCCAACCGTCTTGGTTGGGTGCATGCTATCATCCGTCCACCCTCCGCCCATCCAGCTTCTTTCAAGTACTGCTCACCAAGTTCCATTAAACAACAACAAAGTTAATTCTCAATTAGAACAGTGATTAATTGCCCAGTAGATGAACAGCTCAAGAATTAGTACCCAATGAGTACTTAAAAGAATTTATATAGAACAAGAAGAAATTCCCACCTACTTATACAGAAGAAAAGGAAAACTTAAAAAGAGACCTGAGGAATCTGAGTAGTTTTCCCACTGCCCGTTTCTCCGACGACGATGGTTGTGGCGTGCGTCTCCACTAAATAAAGAATGTCGGTTCTATACTTGTACGCCGGGAGCCTCTGCCTCAGACTTTCATACCCTTGCCTATTTTCATAAATTCAATAAACCCCGCCGTAATTCAGCAATTCATGAGGGAAAAGGAATAAAAGGAAAAGCAAATAAGAGAAGATTAAACTCACCCAGAAGAAGATGGAGAGGCCGAGTAGAACAGAATACCTCCTTCTTCATCTTCCACAATGCGAGGCTTCTCTGTTCCGGGTTTCCAAAACCTCGACATCCTTCTTAGTTACCAACTTGTGAAGAAACCCACGCAATAACACACTAAATTATCAAATATTTTTCTTTCTTTTTTTTTTTTTTCTGTCGCCGGAATGTGTTTGAGTAAATGCCTCTGAGGAGTGGGCCGTGGGGGTGAACAAATAGTGGAAATTGTTTTCGGTAAAGAAGGAAAGTCCAGCTCAGCCGGACCGCGTGAACTATACGTATCAAAATAATAAGGAAAGTCCAGCTCGGTTGGACCGTTGGACTCAACTCGAGCCCCTATAGAATAGATGAACCGCGGGCGCTTACTTTCCTTTTTTGCGAAATATTTAAAGGGTAAATTACACCCACACCCCTGAGGTATGCTTAAATAACTGTAAGGTCCCTGTGGTATCGATAATTACACTTATCCCCCTGAAAGGTAGTTAAAAACTCTAACGGGATAATGCATTGGATACATTATTCAGATAGGGTTCTAATGGACTATTACTTTTAGCTAGTTGTGGAGATAACATAGAATTATGGGGAGTTATGGGGTGACATGGCTCCCCCAATATTTTTTAAATCACTCATAATTCTTTGTTGTCTTCACCACTTCCTGAAACCAATAGTCCGTTAGAACTCTATCGTAATAACGCATCCAATGCATTGTACCATTGGAGTTTATAACTACGTCTCAAGGGGGTGATTGTAATTATCGATACCACAGGGACCTTAAAATTATTTAAGTATACCTCAGGGGTGTGGGTGTAATTTACCCATATTTAAAAGGAAAGTACCGCCCGGTCGGACCGTTGGATCCAACTCGAATTTAATAGATGAATTCAATTCATGGTTTACGTTTTTCTTTCCTTTTTTGCGAATATTATATGTCAAAAATAAATATATAAATAAAATAGAAGAATTAGTTCCCCCTTTTTTGAATCAAATCTCATAGTTATTTAGACTTACTAAGATAAATAAGACATTTCTGTTCAATATATATATATATATATATATATATATATATATATATATATATATATATATATATATATATATATCTCCCACATTGTCAGATTTCAACTCCAGCAGTGAATTTGTACATGCATGGATGGCATGATTTGTGAACTATCAATATACAATCCACATGGTTTTGTAGATCCTAATAAATAAAAAACACCAGGTAATTTTTTACCTTTACACCATAAATCTACACACAATTACGTGAATGTATGTGTACCAAATAGATGGTTATCAACACACATGTATGCTTACTTGTTACCCGATGAATTTGGGTGAGTGTAGGAGCATCAAACAAACTCAATCGGCATAATCTATTCCAAATCTCACCACCGGAAAGCCAAAGAATTTAATTGGAAAAAGATCCGTCGCCAAAATTGCTCAAATGCATTGAACTCGGAACCTCGTGAATTCTGCTCTATATAAAAATAATCATTTTTTTTATAAAGAAAAGCACACTATTGAAAACCCCATCCTCTACCTCTTCCCCTGCCCCTCCCCCTCCCCCTCCCCCTTCCATGTCCACCTCGGCCCCTGCCTCTACCGCCGGAATTTCTCCCTCCGTGTGGATATGGTTGATCTTCAAATGCCCTATTAGGAAGCTGGTGGTGCTGCGTACTGCCACCTCCACGTACCTTTTTCAAAGGGTTGTTACCACCACCACTCTGTGCACCAGGAGGTCGCTTCCCTCTGTATATAAAAATAAGTCGAGATAAAAAAATTAAAAAAAAAAACGATGAAAACTTGATCAGAAAGGTTACATCATCCCCTGAAAAGTACGGGATAGGAACATACCCAGTGGCAGTAGTAGTTGATGTTGATGTTGTGGAAGGTTTCACCACTTCTTTCCAAGATAAGTTAATTCTCTTGTCACCAATAAATGAAGGTGTCTTGGAGTGCAGAGGCTGAGTTATGAAAATAAAATAAAATAAAATAAATTGGCAAGGTAATCAGATATAAAAAAAACTTACTTCGTAATAATTATGTTAATTTGACTTTACCTGCGTCATAGCCAAGATGTTATTGCAAGTTCGTAACCCAGAAGTGGTGTTCTGCTTCTGTGTTTTCTGCAAATTGAATAAAAGGAAATATGTAAGTCTATCTGCATAACACACTAAATCATTGGCTTAGTAGAGAATCTGTCAGCTTCAAGTATGAACTCACAATGCTAGCCTTTGCCTCATCAGATACAGCAGCTGGCAGCGTTTTATTATGCTCGGCCATGCCCTGAGTCAACTTTTTTATGGTAACCCGGGCTAGGTCTTCAACACAAGTCAGTCTGTGGCATAACACACTGTAAATTTCAAACTAAACGAAGATGGAGACCACAGTAATGCAAGAGAATTTAAACATAAATAAAGAAACTACATTATGACCGTAAATGTCAATTTATTTCTGATACCCGCAGAAGTTAAAAAAAATATTAAAAATAATTGAAGTGATTTTTTTTCCGATTAAACTATTTTATTCAAATAAATTTGAAGGTAAAAGACTTAGTCAAGATATCATATGTGCAAGATAAACTCACCGCTCAGAGAAATCTTTGTACTGGTCTGAGAAGTCTTCCCCAAGCCTATCAGATGGTTGCCCAGTCACGATTTTGTAACCACATAAGCTATTAGTGGCGTTTGGTGTCTGTCAAACAATGGAAGGAGAATCGGTTATGAACATGTAATTTGGCGTAGAAGACATTTGGATTTATATGTATGATAAGGAAACACTTATAACCTTGTGAGCTAAATGATGGAATGAGTATAGCAAGCACTCCACATAAGTGAAGTTCATCTCTTCTGCTTTTCTTCGAGGCATGGTCTTCTGAAACAACAACAGATAAGTTAGCAAGTGATATATATGCACAGAAAATACCACAGTAGGTTATAATACAAAATTTCTTTCGATGTTGGTGGATATTGAAATCAGTCCGTTTTTTAAATCTTAAATGTATATACGAAAGGCACACTAGACACTGCATCGTTCATGCATAAAAATAAGTCCTGAACTTGCCTTTAAGAGCAGAACAACAGCAGGGAGAATTTGTCTCGAGTCTTGTGGGGAGGTGTAAGGCGAACCCTCAGCAAGGTCTTTAAGAAGGTCCACTTTTCGTTCTTCAGGGAGCTGATGAGCGAAGAGCAGTCATATGACTCAAATATCTAAATCAATATAGTACCCATTCACATTTGCTTCTGAGGGTTTAACTGTCCAATAATAAGCAAAGAGCAAAACCCGTACTTCATGATTTCAAATCTAACTTAAAGACTAGAAAATTGCATCCTGAATTCCATGTCAGTTGGGATGATTGTATTCCAAAGGAACAAAAATGGAAATGCTTTTAACTTTTTTGGTGTATCACGAGAATATCCAGTCGCTAACTAATGAGCAAATTGAGTATATGTACAGATCGGAGAAGTGCAATATATGTACCTCGTCGAAAACTGGAAAAATGTGCTTGTTTAAATAGTTGAAAAACTTGCTATTAGATGCACCCCGCTGCAAGTGATTCAAAAATCAGCTAAACTAACTTAGTTTAGATTGACAATAAAGGAGAAGAAGGAACACGCATGATTTGAACCTCAAAAAATGGAAGTGCCGTAAATAGGCACGAAATCAATCGAGCAATATGATCTCCATCTGTAACCTGCATTTGGATATAAAAATGAGATTTGTAAATCAACCGTCCCAACAAAAGAAAGGAAGAAAAAAAGCAGATCGAAGCTGGGAAAACACATGTCCTTCTCGGTCTAACTGAGTAGCTTAACCCTACCTTTATGTATTAAAATATTTCTAACGAAATCCATGAACAACAATATTAAAACAAAATCAGAACTAATCATGCCAAGAATCGAAGCAGAATAAAAATTGGACAATGCAGTATTAGGGATGTAACTATTTAACAAAGTAAGGAAAGATCATGGTTCCACTTTTCAATTCAAAATTACTTAGATATCCTTCCCCCACGAGAATCTCCCATATACACCAAGAGAAAATGAAACTCACACTAAATTGGGCATCTAGATCAGCTTGGCCTTCAATAATTTCAAGAAGTTCTTGTATCCGCTCTGGAGGAGCTTTCTGGCCAAACATGCTCAAGCTTTTCAAGAAATCCATAAACATCTTAAATTCTGCTCCAGTGACATCTTGTAGGCTCTGCATATTTCATTTCAGATAGTCATGCACTTTATTAATTACCATATCTACTTGAGATTGACATATCGAGCCAGTTTCTTTTCATTTTTTATTTTATTTTGCCTGATGGGAAAATGACCATTTAGAAAGAAAAAAAAACAGTATCCCGTGCCACTTCCTGAAAGAAAGGAAAAGAGAAGAAACATAAGCTTACCTTTTTTATCAAATCAGTTATGTGCCTTTCCATTTGCTCCGGGGGCCTTAAGAGCTCAGTTTTAAGTGGAAAAACCTGAAGTAAAGATTAAGGTAAGGACAAACCACGACACAGCCAGGAACTCATTTTCGAAAATGGACAAACGAGGCATGCACTGTAACAATTTCCAAGGAATTCGAATATCAGTCATCCCACCTTGTCTCTAATGAAAAGTAAGGTCCTCTCACGTAGACTTTCATCTGCTATCTGCTCATCTACACTCTCTATATGTTTAAATAGGGCATCCAAAGAATCTGTATAAACAATGCACAAACTATATAGTCTCAACAATAGACGAAAAAAGGAGCAAATTTAAATTTAGAGGTGCGGATCACACCCTCCAGTTACCAAGATATTATATAATTTGATATAGATTCATTTTACTGAATAAAATAAAATGAAATATAAGACTTCACAAAAAACAGAGTTTTTTTTTCAATAAGAACAGGAGAAAAGAACTATAATCAAAATAAAACTTGTTTTCAATCAAGTCACATAATTATGAGTTTGTTCTCAGAGACAGAAATTGTAACATATCAGCATGCTTCATTATTATGAAATAAAAGTAATAACAAAGAACAAAGTTAAGTACACCTATCCTTGCACTTTTAAAAAATCAGTTTCTAAAAGTCATCAAATTACTTGATATGTGACTTGAACATAGAAAAACCCAAAAACATAGCAAGATGAGAAAATCATAGAATTACTACTGCATATTTCAGCGATCAGTAAACTACCTCGAACATCCTGCCTCAATAAGGACAGAAGTGCTTTATGCACAGCATCACGCTCCACATTTTCCTCTGCAAAGAGAAGAATAAAATCGTAAAGGATAAATCTGTATTAAATAAATGGCTTTACTATACTAACAATGCAATCATCTCTCGAAATATTCACATTCTTAAGAGACTCAGAACACTTAATACCAGCAGTGAGGAGTTGTGCGAGAATGTCAACAATTTTAGACAGATGCTGTGGTGTATCCTTGCAGAAAAGAGGAAGCCCACGAATCGCTTGCACCCGAATCTGAAAATGTGATTAACCGAAGAATTGTATTAACACGTAGTATACATTGTATTAATCTTCATTTAGGTATAAGCAAACTTCACACAGATAACTGAACTCGAACCACCAATCTAAAACCTTATTTCATGCCATAAAAAGTTCGAAGTCTGAAGCATCTATCAACAGATAATATGAAACATTGGAAACAAGTAAATGCTGGGGTAAAGAAAAAAGAAAGCCAACCCCTAATTCTTCAGCTTCACACAAATCAAGATGCGCATCGACTGCCTTATCCGATAGACCAGGAAAGTACTTGAAGAATCGAGGGATTAGCTGCGCAGCTAATTGCCTTGCTTTCACACTGCTACTCTTTCCCGCCTTAATAATGTTTTCATAATCCTCAGCATGCTGTTCACACCATTGGAAATCACACTAAATTAACTTCCGAATCACGAAATTTTCCTAAAATTAAAGATCAATCACTGGAACCCTAGAAGCGAAGCGAAGGGGGAAAAAAACGAGGAGGAAGGAGAGAATTAGGGACCTGGGACTTGTCTTTGACTTCGTTGAGGCGTTCACCATACACGTAGAGCTTCCCGATGTCCTTCGCTTCGTCGGAGACGTCTGCCATTGCTCCCGGTGCGCGCGTGTGGAGAGAAAGTGAAAAGCCCCGCCTATAAATACGAAAATACTTTGGCAGGTGGTGTATGGGTTACGTTATATGTTTAAACTTTAAAGTGATGAGTGAGAGAGTTTAGGAGAGAGAGAGAGAGCTGAGTTGACTCGGTCCAGAGTTATTTGCTTTTAGGGATTTGTTGCAGTGAGTCAGTAACCAGTAGATAAAGAACTGAAGACTGGATTACTAACGGGTACGGATCCGAATTACTAATCCATTACCCATGAACTAATCTGCCAAATTAAATTACTGCAAATCTCTTTTATTTTTTCTATTTTTTAAAATAGATTATCTAAATATTTCAGGACATGCATTTTACTAACATTAACCACAAGTAAACAAGTACTGCCGATCTAACCTGTAGAATCAAAAGAATTCGAAGTTTTAGCTGCGTCGAATGGGACATTTAAGAACATATTCATGTTCGCGTAGAATCCAAGAGTACTAACGTTATTCGAGTTTCCAACACCTCGAAATAAACCCAATAATAGTTATGTAAAAACAAGATTGGAAATAAAGAAAAGGGTTTCTCTTCAGTCTTTTTATTCATCTTCACTTCACCTAGCTCCAAAAAAAAAAAAAAAAACATCTGTCTTGGATTACAACATGGGCATCTCCAAGGCTTGCAAGACGTCTTTGAACTCAAAGTCACGTGTTTGTTTGTTGAAACGCTCGACTAGCTTATACCTAACATCATTCAGGTAAAAAGATTGTGCAGTTTCTAGAAGCCACTTTGCCTCTGCATCACTCAGCTTGCTAGTGAGCACGATATCACCACGAATAAGCACCATATCTTTGCTATCTGCAAATTCTTTGTAGAAAGTAGCAGTCATGTATGGAGAAGCTTGCGTTCCTCTTGCTTTATAATCTTCAAGACCCGTGAAAAGCATGTGCGGCATCTGAACTGTAAGACAAAGATTTTCGTTGAATAAAAAAAAATCAGGATTTCGACATTTTTTCCTCATCCCCATACGATAAAATATATATCATGACTTAACCAACATAAGCATTCTAAGATGGTCATGTTATTTATATAAAGTTTTCTAAGATTTCAATTAGCCATAAGTTCCAGATAGATTCAAATATTAGGCCAAAGTTGGGTACTTCAGCATTCAGCAAATCCTACCATTACATACGTTACGAAAATTGGGGAAAGAAAAAAAAGTTGATGCTCTTAACCTTGCACAAACATTGTCGTGTACCCACTTCCTTTCCACAATGGAATCACAAAATAACGGCTGTAAACAAATAGAAAAAGAATGTCAATTTATTTTTTAGGAAGAACTACAAGAAAAAATCGAAAAATAAGGTAGAGTGCTACCAACCAATCTGCAGTTCTCTGATCCAACAGGTAGTACAATTTGGCTTTCATCGATAGGCCAATATGACCCCTTCCCAAGTGAAACTGAGAAAACAACAATTAAGAACGGCATACTAAAAGCAAACACATGTCCGAAATACAAAAGTAAGATGGATAAATATCTATATGAACTCCACTCTGGTGATATATGACTCAAGACTAAAGCATATATAGAATAGAATAAAATACAAACAGTTAAATTTGGAGACACCTGTCTTCATAACAGAATAAAATGCTTAAGTTATTAATGTTTCAACTAATATTTTCCTAAAGCCCCACCCAATGTTTAGCTTTTAGATTTCCCGACTCGGGATCTGTGAACACATGGAAAGCATAGAGGATCCATTTTTTTTAAATTTAGCAACTAGGGATAATATGCTATCTGAGTACGATTCATGAGCAGAAAACGGTTAAATATTTAAACAAGGCGATTGCTTCCTTAAGTAACACGAAAAATTAGAAGTGGCTAGACTGATGTGGTCAACATTAACACATGAAATGTAATGTTCAGGCATAAGCAGATTTCTGAGCAACTAATATGCTTTCAGAACGAAGGGTAAATATACAAGTGCGGGGTGAAAATAAAGACACGAGAGAGTGGTGGAATAGAAATCGCAATGCACAATAGTTTAAGGAAAACATACATCATCCCAAATGTCAGCAAGTTCTTCGGGAGACTTGGTCTTAGCCCTGGCAACATCAATAATTGACTCCAAAGGCTTTGGCTGCAAGGGTGTGAACCCTGTTGCAAAACTCATCGTCCTGCACAACCCCAATTTCAAGAAATTGCTCGGAACTGATATCTTATGTGAATTCTCAAACTGTCTTTGCAGAACAGATATGGTGCTAAAACATTGTTTCGTGATCATAGAAGAACATGTAGCATCACGACAGAGATATCCTGCCGAAGAAAAAGCCCTCCTCGTAACTTTGGACACCAAACGATACATAATTTATCTGCAATATACCAGTTAAGAAATAACATCAATCAGAGTGAAAAAAACTGTTGGATTTTGCATTTCCAAGAAAATGCCAAAACAAATACATACATTTACTCCAGCAAAAATCTTAACCTGCAATATGAAAATAATATGTATTCCGAGATGTCACTAAACGAAGTAACTGCGAGCTCGATTGATTCTATTTCAAATTGCACATAATCAATTTGTGTGCATATGGAATAAATTTCAACGATCGTGGTTTGATGAGCTAATTAGAGTTCACTGAGGACTTTTATCGAACAGTTAGTGAACGGATTTCCGAAAAAGGTTCGCATCTTCTCGATTTCTCGGGGAACCAAAATTCCAGTTATGCCAGTACATTGAACGATCATACATTACACCAAACAAGCAAGATTTTCCGATTCATGCTACAGGTGAATCATGTATGCGCAGTAATGAACTTTTGGGTGAAATTGTGCGTAAATTATTATGTTGTGGAAGATTGAGTTTCACCTGATCTTAGCCGATGAACAAGGATTGTTCGATTGATTCCAAGATTTGATTAGAGTGGCATGAAGATGAAAACCAAGGAAACTCAGCTCCAACTGAATTCGGCCGAGCTTTTGCTCCGCATAGAAATTCCTCAACTCCAGGATTTCCAAATAAGTTCTATTATTATTATTATTATTATTATTATTATTATTATTATTATTATTATTATTAGGGCCAAGTCTAATAATAAGAGTTGACGGGCTTTGACCCGAACATGTTTCCAATAGGCTAAAATCAATAATGAGCCCAAATCAAACAAGAGCCTATAAAGTTGTCCCATAATACTTTTTTTTGTTACATATAAAGTGATGTATCCATCTAACTTTTAGCTAATAATTGAAGTTATACATATAAAATTGATCACAATATATTTTTGATAATTATATGAATTAATCGGTGGAGTGCACTACAAATGTTACATAGCAAAACAAAATGTAGAGCACTAGCTTACATTTACAACCCATGCATGACAACAATAAAGTCAAACAATTGTCCCGCAAGGGAGCAAATGCGCCTGTGTCAATTGACTCAAGTTCGAATTTCTCTGTCAACGGCTGAATGACACTTGTCACATATAGTTAGTCTAGAGTAATTTATGCTTCTCGTATGGTTTACTCAGTGCACACCATATGGTTGACTGTAGGTTCGCTAGGTACCAAAAAAAATGAAATGAAAATCAGCATTTGTTCATAGAAAAATTGTTAGTTCAAAATTAAAAGTATAGAAAGGACTTTGGTCCACAACTTTTATTGTTCTAAAAAAGCAAAATCTCCACTCACAAAAAAAAAACGGAAAATAAATAAGAAGGGGAAATTGAATGAGAAAGATTGCATGGTGAGAGAGAGAGGGAAAGCAACATATGATAATATATGAGATTAAAAGGGGTATGTGCCTTAGTTGAATGTGAGATGGATGGCCCAATTGCACTTGCACATGCTCTGCATTTAAGGAAGGCCCTTACTTTTATCTTATTATTATTATTAATATTAATATTATTGCCCCTTCTCCTATTGCTTGACAATATTCATTCTTGCATTCTATAATTTCATTCTTTGCATTCGATATGTAGATAATAAAACAAATAAATAAATAAATAAATAAAGCCAGTGTGTTATATATGTGTGAAGTAAATAGAAGGCTTCACGGGAGTTGATTCACTCTATTTAAGACAGGAAAACAAAACCAAGTGGAGGAACAAAGTATTCATTTTTGTTGGCATATTTTTTCCACCTATCAACTGTTAGCTTGCTAACTTGTCCTAAAGCTGTCACCATGTCTTATTTCTCCTCTCCTCCTCCTCCAATTCTCACATTCTTCATCTTTCTTCTCTCACTACTCTCTCTCTCCTTATCCAATGCTGCTCTAACCACCACTCCCAAAGTTAGCGCCAGGTATCAATTATCGGTCGATTACTATGCTAAGAAATGCCCACAGCTTGATCAACTCGTAGCTTCCGTTACTTCACAGCAGTTCCAAGAAGCCCCAATTTCCGGGCCCGCCACTATTCGACTCTTCTTCCACGACTGCTTCGTCGAAGTAAAAAAAAAATGTTTTTTTTTCTTAATCATATCTCCTCTCCAAGTTTTTTTTTTTTTTTTTAAGTATTGATGTGTTGTTCTTGTATTTGATTTAATTATAAAAAAAGGGGTGTGATGCATCGATATTGATTTCGTCGAAACCCGGAAATAAAGAATTAGCTGAAAGAGATGCAGAGGAAAACAAGGATATGGCACCAGATGCTTATGACAGCATAAACAAGGCTAAGTCATTGGTTGAGAGCAAGTGCCCTGGAGTTGTGTCCTGTGCCGACATTCTTGCCATTGCAGCCAGAGATTTTGTCCATTTGGTTACTTTCTCTCTCTCTCTCTCTCTCTCTCTCTCTCTCTCTCTCTCTCTCTCTCTCTCTCTCTCTCTCTCTCTCTCTTGTGTTTGTTTGTATTTGAGGTTGATACAACTGGCTAATTAACATTAAGTTATTGTCAGAAATCACGAGATTGATTCATAATCATTAGGGATTGTGAATTTGTGATTAATAAGATGAATCCAACAAAAGTCTTTTGTTTTTCTGATTGTCTCTATTTTTCAACTGCAGATAGGGACAGAGAGTGATCATCAACACTTTATTTCATTAAACATGACTTAATTTAATTACTCGTGACAATTTTTTTTTATTTTCTTTTTATATTTTTTTGTCAAGGCTGGAGGTCCATATTATCAAGTGAAGAAAGGGAGATGGGACGGAAAACTTTCGATGGCGTCTCGAGTTCAATCCAATCTTCCACGATCAAACTCAACCGTAGACGAACTTATCAAGCTCTTCAAGTCGAAAGGGTTAACAATCGAAGACCTAGTTATCCTATCCGGGGCCCACACCATAGGTTTCGCGCACTGCAAGCACTTTGTGAGCCGGTTATACGACTACAAAGGCACGAAGCAACCCGATCCTTCGGTCGATCCAAGACTGCTCAAGGCACTCAAAATGTCGTGCCCGAACTACGGAGGGAATACGGATATCGTGGCGCCGTTTGATGTGACGACTCCGTTCTCGTTCGACAACGCTTATTACGGGAATTTGGAGGCTAAAATGGGATTACTTGCCTCTGATCAAGCACTGTTTGTTGATCCTAGGACTAATGGTTTGGTTCAGACAATGGCTAAGGATAAGCAGAAGTTCTTTCAGGCGTTTGCTTTGGCTATGGAGAAAATGGGGTCTATTGGTGTTAAGAGAGGGAGAAGGCATGGGGAGAAAAGAAAAGATTGTAGTGTTCATATGGGATGATAATTAATTAATTATTATTAAGTTTATTAATCAATTTTCTTTTAATTAGTTTCCTAGATTTTTTTTTTTTTTTTTTTTTTTTTTGTAATTCTGATTAATTTCTAGTCATTTGTTAAAAATAAAAAAAAATAAAATAAAACACCGCAATTGATCGACCCGGCCCGGCCCATTTACTATGAAAATAAAAGGAGAAAAAACAGGGGAGTCCAATTAGTAATACGTACCATGTGTTCAATTGATTTTGGGATTATGCAATTCCAGCAGCGGATAACATTTAACCGTGAAACCAAACAGCGCCCACTTTCCCCAGGCCGATCTGCTATTGTACGCCATAGGCGCACCAATCGTGTTAGCTTCGGAAGAAGGAAGCAAACGATCGTAGCAATGAGGGCCGTGGTTCAGCGCGTCGCCTCCGCCAGCGTCGAGGTCTGCGTAACGATGCGTGCAATTTCACTCACACGCGCGCTCAAAAGGTCTGTGTATTTTTCTTCGTTTACGATGATAGCTCACGCGCGTGAGAATGGCGGTGTTGCAGGTGGAAGGCCGTACGGTGTCGGCGATCGGACCGGGTCTGCTTGTCCTCGTCGGCCTTCATGAGACCGATGTTGAATCCGACGCTGAATACATGTATGTATGTATGTATAAATCGAAAAGTTGATTTTATTTTTTAAATTTTTATTTTTAGCAGTTGGTGAGTGAATCTTCTGTTGTAACTTTGTTTGGTTGCAGATGTCGCAAAGTGCTGAACATGAGATTGTTTCCAAATGATAATACCGGAAAAACCTGGGACCAAAATGTAAATTCTTCATCACTTTTTTTTCTTTTCATTTCTTTATTTGCTGATTTCAGAAAAGAAATATCTGTTCTATTTTCATTGTTTGATTAACCAAAAATGAAATATAACAACACTGTGCTATTGCTTGAACGATCAACGTTTGTGGCTTTAATGCTTGTTAACAGGTTATGCAAAGAAATTATGAAGTTCTATTAGGTAACATCTTCTGTCACATACTTTACCCTTCTTTTCTACCTAAACGGCTAGTTTCGTTAGTTATGGGCTAATGGGATGGTTTTATTTGGTGCAGTGAGTCAGTTCACATTATATGGGGTATTAAAAGGAAACAAACCCGATTTTCACGTGGCGATGCCTCCCAATGCAGCAAAAACATTTTATGCGTCACTGGTCGAAAAATTTCAGAAATCATACAGGATCGATGCAGTAAAAGGTGATTTGCCGTTTTCATCTCTCTCTAAGTGTGAAATTTGCGTCTCTGTGGATCGCCTTTACAGGGACAATACTTATATTTTTCTTCTTTAAAGATTGCGAGCGTAGCTATTGAAGTGAGACTCAGACATGCAGAATTTAGATTACTGTAAATCATAAAAAAAAGTGTTACACTCTCAAAATTTGAAAATATTCATACATGCTAATCATTGATTAATGTATTATTTATGTGCAGATGGTGTGTTTGGAGCAATGATGAAAGTGAGATTTCTCATAACTTCGAATTTTTTGTTTATTTCATGATTTACACTTTACAGTCGGTGAGACTGGAGTTACAACACTCTGAACTTGGGGGGGTTTTAACCCCTTTTTATATTTTTCTCATCTGAAGGTTAACTTGGTCAATGATGGTCCAGTAACAATGCAGCTCGATTCATGCGGGCAATCATCCAAGTGAGTTCATACCCAGCTAGACCCAGTGTTTTTGTGTTCTATGTAATATATTTTACTGCAAAAACATATCTCATATTACTGGAATGTCTATATCTAATGTATTGCTTATGTTGTTTCAGGAATACAAATGGTGTGTAGTAGAAGGATCCTAACTAACTTCATTGGTAACTGGGAGAAACATATCAAAGTTGGAAATCTGCTTGATTTAACGTATACAGCCGAACACGAACTGATTTAAGAAGTCAAACTTATGAAAGGAAAAGGATACGATGAATCTCATTTTCATGTGTTTTATTATGGTAATGTGTTCTCTCGGTCGTTTTCAAATATCAGAGGCGCAAACACAATCAAAATATTAGATTGAATACCACATTACTAAGAACAGATGTTATGAGCAGAATAACTTACGTTGAGTTATCAATGATGATATTTGTTTGGTTTTAGTGACAAAAGAGACAGAGATACTCACATGTAGATTCTTGAGATATGTTACCTGTACACCATAGAATATCTACACTCAACTACACCAGGTTCTGCTTACCATTGTCAGAATTCTAATGGGCAAATCTTAACTACAATTGAAGTCACTACATTTTTGCTGAGAGAATGGCAGCAGCTGTAAACAATGCTTCCTTGCTGCAGCACAACATCTCAGTGTCCCTGCACATCGAATTATCCGTGTTACCAAATAATAGAAAATTGAAGTGAAAATGCACGATCAATGTGTGAAACTTACGGATCTTCTTTTCTGAGAGAGGTAAAAGCAGATACTAAGTTTTTGCAAATTTCATGTAGAGAGTTGCTTTTGACATGTTCAACCGTAACGGAAACTCCTCCAGAGACGTGTTGATAGAACAGCGCCAAATATGCCTAGAATATAGATTTGATGTCAGAGCTCATTGAAATTTTCTATGTTTCCTTTGAAAGAGAAGCACGGGCTGCAGAAAATCATATCATAACGCATTTTGAACTGAAGGAAAAATGAGCTTTATCTTCAAGAGAGAAGTGTACTCACCTGGAAAGCATAGGCCAAGAGCAATTGAACTACCTCTGAACTAATCTTTTTAACGATACTTTTAGTGATGTTGCTGTTGGACAAGCACTTCAAAACTCCATCAAAATTCTCGGTTTTGACTGCACCACTTGATCTCCTAGTTTGAACAGAATACTGCAGCAGATACCAGAAAAGGATTATTGCAGCTTATTTCAAGAGGTTACTGCTGGTTGTTGAATACCATAGAACTATTGCGATGAATTGTGAGGGTATGATTATTTGAGAGCTAACTTGAACATCTAACATTCTATAAACCTCTGATCTGGATTAACTCTTTTGAGTGTCTACAAACAGGAATATGAATGAATGAAAATTAAAATATAACATGGGTCATGAATTATACTCGTGCTGCTCATCAGGCACTGGTGACAGAATTCTTAGCACTTCCCCAAAGTTAAATTGAGCAAAAAAAAAAAAAAACGAGTTTTCAATACCAACATATTCCTTAGACTAGTAGTGATCGGGATGGTCAACACTGAGGTGTGCTAAAAGTTAACAAAAAGTTTCAATTTGGGCTCTGAACTGAAATAAAAGATATAGATAATCCATGACAATAGAATGCGCTAACATCAATACTTAAGAACAAAAAGATGAAATTAGAAGACTGGGGAGAAATGGAGATAGACTGCTTCAAATTGGATCATATTCAAAATGGAGATTACCCAGCGGCCAGCATACCTTAGGAATGTATTTCTGGAAATATTGTACGATAATTTCAAGCTTCCATCTTGGATCAAAGACCTGTAAATATTTTGATATTAAAATCTTAATTAAATTTAAAAACTATGATACACTACTATCTCAGTAAACTTATGTAGTGTCAATCGACTTCTTTTTCTTTAATTAAAAAGCTTCTTTTTCTTTGTCTGGATGAGAGAGAGAGAGAGAGAGAGAGAGAGAGAGAGAGAGAGAGAGAGAGAGAGAGAGAGCACCTGAAGAAAAGAAGGTAGGATATCATTGTTGTACATAAGTTCATCCAAAATGATCTCCATTGCTGGGGTCCTGTAGTACAACCAATTGTAAATGCATTCCTTGATACTAAAATATCAGCAAATAAACAACGTCCAAAAGAAACAGAACCAAAAAGTACCTTACACCATCAGCTCTAGTTGTATGACCTTGCTGATCAGCCACTCGCCGTGACGAATCTAGCTCCATGATCTACATAATACACAAAAAAATTGGTCAAGAAAAGATAATTTGTATATATATCATCAGAAATAAATGGCCAGTGAACATACCATCAAGAGAAGTTTTTTCAGGAGATTGCAAGTAGACTTTTTCATTTCAGGTAAAGCTAATGTCGTAACACTAGTAATTCCATGCAGTAACTCCCCTGTAGAACCATCTTCTTCAGAAAATACACTCAATTGAGACATATCACACATGATTGATAAACAGTCCTTCATTAACCCTTTGTAAATTATTTTTCTTGATCCCTGCAAAAGGCTCCTAAAGAAAAATCAAAAGGATATAATAATAACCCATATAAAAGAGAGGCGTTAACATGTGTAAATGTAATAGTTGTGATTATTGAAAAGGAAATTTTTTGGAAGGCATACCAGAAGCAAGTTTAGCTGTGACTCCCTCAAAATGGTCCAGTTCATAGTTTCTGCAACAACATGAGCTTTTGAACAAAGGATTCTTGAAAAACCGTCAGAAAAAGAACAGTGCCATTTGTACCTTGATAAGTGCAATTACGAGGCAAAAAATCTCCTTCAAGAACAGTGATGAGATACTGAAGTAGTAACATGTTTTTCAGGAACTGCAATAGGAGCATCTCTTTAGAAATACAGAACGTTGCTAACTTGTGAAGATAATCTAATTACCAATGGTGAAGAAGCATTAACAAGACAACGCCAACAACCTTACAAAACTGCCAGTTAAATTGATAGTATGCATTTAAAAATCCTAAAAGAAAAACTGTTGAAGAGAAATAATTACGTTTGTCTCTACCGAAGCTTTCACTTCTTCGGACTTCATTTCCTTAGCCATTCTGTCAATATCTTGTATAAGAGCATGGAAACCCTGAAATTGACATTTTAACTTTCAATAATAGCAGAAACAACAGATATAAGGTACTATACTACTGTAAGCAAAGAACAATGAACTGAATCATCAAAAATTTGCCTAATAACCAACCAATGCATCCACCGAAATACTTGAATGATTTGCAGCTTCCCTCTTCTCATTGTAACCATCCAACCGGAAATTAAAAGGTATCCAAGCCTAAAATGCAGCAGCACATTTCAAACATTATTCAGATGATAACCTTAATTTCAAACATTTACTCGGAGAAAGCTGAATCACCTCTTCAACAATAATTAATTCGTAGAGAACTTCTGAAGGTAAAGATGAATCTAAACACTCCCCTTTGGATAGGTATACTCGAGGAAAGCACTGTACATCAAATAAAATATTAATCAAATTTTAAAACATATTGGCCCCTAAATCTGGGAACCGAACGTCATGCTTATTGCAATTGAAACAATCGAGTACCTTATCCAATTCAATGAGAAGCTGGTAACTTTCCATCATTAAATCAAGCGAATCCACATCCTTTAGAATATGAAATATGGCCTCAAACATTTTTCTGTCGAGCAAATTTGCAAATAAGAGTGTTTACGAGCAAAAATAACAAACCATATAGGCTGATTGAACACAAAAAAAACATGTACAATGAAGTTACACAATACGAAATCATCATATCGCAACCCAAAAGGCAAGAAGAATACGTACCCTGTGGGTGCGCTTCCATTATCTGGAAGAAGAGAAGCGGTTCGAACAGCTTCCAGAAAAGCAAGCCCTAACATACGGAAAACCAATCAATATCAAACGAAAAAAGAAAAAAAAAATACCTCGAAGCGTAAGAGTAAGTAAACCAAGTGAAAACATATATATACTATACGCACGATCGTCGTTCAGGTGGGGAGAGAATTTCGAATTGTTGAAGCCGGAGGTGTCGAGAATGGCCAACGTGTTCTCTTCCATTCCCCGATTCCTACCGTCTGCGGCGATTCTCCTTCGCCTCTCCATGTTTCCAATTTTTTTTCCAACCCTCGCCAATTTGTGATGTTTCTGTTGTCCCCTGATTTAGAAATTAGAACCCTAGTTCTTCACCTCTTACTTTTTCCCGCCAAAAGGAAACCCTCGTTTTTTGTCTGATACTCATACTATTGGTCCGTTAATTGACCCAGTCACCGCTAGCAAACTCCCAGAAAATAAAAATTAAAAAATAAAAAGAAATTCCGTTGCCGGGACTTGAACCCGGGTCTCTCGGGTGAGAGCCGAGTATCCTGACCAACTAGACTATAACGGATTTGTGACAGTTTACAAAATATGTTATTTTAGAATGTTCAATATTAATCATAATTATATAAGAAAATGAAGTTGCAAACACATGCAATCACTTTGGTGTGTGCAGATGTGTGGCAACAATCTATCCGATATACATATCATCAGGTGTAACATAAATTTAAGCATGAGATCTAATCAAGAAAATATTTGAAAGCATGTGTAAATTGGCTACAATTTCTGTTTAACATATAATAGCATCACAAATTAAAAATGCTTTATATCTCCATGTACTTTAACCTCGCCTTATTAGGAACAACTGACCAACTCTCTGGTGCACGACATGAATGCAATTAATTAACCATGTTTCAACCAAACACTATTGAATAACCTCCTCGGTAGCTCGTTCGACGTACAGGGAAGGGAATTCTGTTATATATTTAGTTTGAATTAAGCAACAAATTCACACATATTAATTATAATCATGTTTCCCATGAAGAAAATGAGTGTTGTAGTCACAACAATTTCCTTACTAATCATCGCTTCGTGTCTGAATAATTATGCACAAGCCACTGACTATATTCATCAGCTAAGGCTTAAGGCAGCTAAGCATAATATGACATGTGTATTAGTGTTTGGCGACTCGAGCGTTGATCCCGGGAATAACAACTATATCTCAACTTCCATCAAGAGCAACTTTTTGCCGTACGGAGAGGATTTCTTTAAAGGCCGTCCTTCCGGAAGATTCTGCAATGGAAGACTCGCCACAGACTTCATTGGTAATTAATTAGTTAAAAACAGTTCTTCGACTAAATTACGTATATACTATCGAAAGTTTTTAATTAACACGGTTTTTTTTCAATTATTACAGCGGGGGCGTTTGGTTACACGAATTTGGTGAGGGCATTTCTTGACCCTGCTATTACCAAGAAAGACTTGCTCCACGGAGTTAGTTTTGCTTCAGCAGATTCCGGTTATGATGAACTCACAGCCAATCTCTCGGTAATTAATTAGTTGTTTTTTTTTCGTAGCTAGATTAATTATGTATATATATGATTTGATTATGAAATGGGACTGAACAATAGATGTTTAACAAACAGAATGTTTTATCGATATCGAAGCAACTGGATTACTTGAGACACTACAAAATCCACCTGAGAAACATTGTTGGATCAACAAAAGAATCTGAAAAGATTGTCAAGAATTCATTATTTATAGAGTTAACTGCAAAAAATCCCCTAAACTTTGGACGTTTTTGCGTTTTACCCCCTGAACGGAAAAAAGTTGCACGGGCATACCTGAACTCCGATTTTCTTAGCACCGATGTCCAAAATGTCCATTTTTGGCCAAAATTGACCGGAAGTCAAGTCACGTGCCTCACACGTGACTTTAGCTGGGGTAAATTGGTCATTTCCTTTTATACTCAATTTTGTTCCTTTTGTTTTTAATAAATATAAATAAATCTTAAAAATAAAAAAATAAAAAAAGAAGAATAAGTTTCTTCTTCCCGTCACCATCATCCCCAACCAAGCTCAGCCAAGAGTTCACCCCTTCCGCCGCCGCCGCCGATTTTCCGCCGGAGAACATCATCTTCTGCGGCAAACTCATCCCCTACAAACAACCTCATAATAATAACAACAGCAATAATCAACCGATGATCCAAAAGGCCAACAACAACAGCAATTCACCAGATCTGTTAATAATTGAGAGCAAGCAAAATCGAATCGAGATGTGGAAGATTTCGAGTACAAGTAATGGAGCCAGAGGTACAACCCTAATGCAGTCGCCGCCGCCGAAGAAAACGTACAACACCAACAAGCAGCTCAATTTGTCATTGTTCACATCCTCGTCGTCTTCGGGGAAAACTAAGTGGTACTTTCCCTTTTTCGGTTCTCCGAGGTTTTCGACGGAGGTGGATCTGAGAGATTTCAAGAGCCGACGGCGGAGCTTACGCCGCCAGTTTTCGTCGCCGCCGCCGCCGCCGCCGATGTTCAGATTCGAGGATGATGAGGATGATGATGACGATGGTGAAGGGGTGGATTGAATAGCAGATTTTCGAGATCGAACTAACAGATATGGGGGGATGGATTGAAATTGGTTCGGAAGGGGTGGTGGTGCGGCGTCGGATCAGAAATTGTGGTAGTTGTCTGATTTGTGCGTGGTGGACGAAGATGATGGGTTTTTTTAATTTCTTTTTTTCTTTTTTGTTTTTTCTTTTCTTCTTTCTTTCATTTTTTCTTTTTTAATTATTTATATTTATTAAAAAGAAAAGGAAGAAAATTGGTGTAAAAGAAAAATACTAATTTACCCCAGCTAAAGTCACGTGTGAGGCACGTGATTTGACTTCCGGCCAATTTTGGCCAAAAATGGACATTTTGGACATCGGTGCTAAGAAAACCGGAGTTCAGGTATGCCCGTGCAACTTTTTTCCGTTCAGGGGGTAAAGCGCAAAAACGTCCAAAGTTTAGGGGATTTTTTGCAGTTAACCCTTATTTATACTTAGTATGGGAACAAATGATTTCCTACAAAATTACTACGTCGAGCCTACTCGTTCGCACCAGTACACCGTGGAACAATACGTGGCCTATCTGATTTCGTGCATGCGAACTGCCATCAAGGTCTATTAATTAATTAATTAATCGATCATAAAATAAATTAATTAACTCTTAATTAATATATCCTCTTAAGTAAGAGTTATATATTGCAGACGATGCATTCTCTAGGCGCGAGGAAACTTGTGGTGGTCGGAGTTCCACCGCTAGGGTGTATACCGCTTGTCAGGACGCTACGCGGCGAGACCAAATGCGACACCGACTTAAACAAAGTCGCGTTTTTGTTCAACTCGGAGATAAAAAGGGAACTAAAAACGATGATGGAAGGATCTACTTCGTATTCGCCTAAGAGTACTTTTTTGGATATATACAGCATCATACTAAATGCAATTGAGAAACCACAAAAATACGGTTGGTTAATAATTAATTAATTAATTAGCACATTTTTATTACATTTTTGTAGGCCTTTTTTATTATTATTAATTATATATTGATTAAAATGCAGGTTTTACGGAGCCTTTGAAGGGATGCTGTGGGACAGGAACATATGAATATGGGGATACATGCAAGAATTTGAGCACGTGCCATGATCGGACAAAATATATATTCTGGGATGCTGTTCATCCCACTGAGAAAATGTACAAAATTGTTGCTGACGTGGCCGTGGAACTCCTCGTCGATTCCATTTTCTGAGTAGTAGAACTGCAATTTCTTTTTTTTATTTATTTATTTAATTATCAAAATAAGCAATCTTGAAAATAAGTGGTGGCATATGGATATTGTTTGATTGAATCTGCAGTTATGCAAAGTTTAAGGTTTTATTTCTTTGATTGAATTGTTTGATATTTATTATAAAAGAACATATATTTACCATTTTATCCACCACCTCTAGAGAAATAAAACAATTTAATCATAAGACACTAAAAATAAAAATAAAATATTCCGTTGCCGGGACTTGAACCCGGGTCTCTCGGGTGAGAGCCGAGTATCCTGACCAACTAGACTACAACGGATTTGTTTACAAGATTCAATCTATTTATTACCTATACTAAGCACATCACAAAACTGGACCTGTGCTTTTACATTGCATTGGGGTCAGCTGACCAACTCTCTGTTGCATATAATGAATGGAATTAATTACTTCAGACATCTACCTCTTAGATCATCAACAACAGTGTTTATCACATTTTCATCTCAACTAGTTTTAATTTATAAAGATGATTAATTTTTGTTTTTTAATACTGAATTAGATGGAAGCATTGAATAATATCCAACCAAACATGTACTATATATATATTAATTGCATAACCACCTGCGGTAGCTTGCTAAACCTTTGGTTATATATTCAAAGAATCCAATCACACAGCCTACAATATAAATATATAATACTAGGTTTCCTCTTTTTGATCTATACATACATAATATTACTATAATAATATATAAACATGAAGACAACGAGTGTACTCATAGTTGCAGCAATTTCCTTAACAATCACTTTGTGTCTGAATTATGCACGCGCCACCGACAACATTAATCATCGGCTAAGGCATATAGCAGCTAAGCATAACACGACATGTATACTAGTATTCGGCGACTCGAGCGTCGATCCCGGGAACAACAACCGTCTCTCCACTCCCGCAAAGAGTAATTTTTTACCCTACGGTAAAGATTTTCTCATTAACGGCCGACCTTCCGGAAGATTCTGCAACGGCAGACTCGCCACCGATTTCATCGGTACGTATTATATCCGGTAATTAAAAATGAATAATTATATCGTTTTTAATAGTGTGTATGTGTTACTATACAGCGGAGGCGCTTGGTTACACGGATTCGGTTAGGGCATTTCTCGACCCTGCTATTACTAAAGAAGACCTGCTCCACGGAGTAAGTTTTGCGTCATCTGGTTCCGGTTACGACGAACTCACAGCCAATATCTCGGTAATTAATAAAAATTTATTTTAATTAATTTTCTTCCATATGGATTATATGAGACTAATTATTAGTAGATTTAAAAACAGAGCGTTCTATCGATATCGAAGCAGCTGGATTACTTGAGACACTACAAAATCCACCTCAAAAACCTCGTTGGAACAAAAGAATCTGAAAAGATCGTCGAGAATGCAATATTTATACTTAGTATGGGTTCGAATGATTTCCTACAAAATTACTACGTCGAGCCTACTCGTTCGCACCAGTACACCGTCGAACAATACGTGACCTATTTGATTTCGTGCATGCGAAATGCAATCAAGGTCTAGTTTCTAAATATTGTGCAATTTAGAATTATTTTTTAATTTAAGAAATTGATTGATTAATGATTCCTTATTGCAGATAATGAATTCTCTAGGGGCGAAAACGGTAGTGGTGGTCGGAGTTCCACCGCTAGGGTGTATGCCGCTAGTCAAAACGCTCCGTGGAGACACCAAATGCGACTCTGAGTTAAACAGAGTGGCGTTTTTGTTCAACTCGGAGATAAAAAAGGAGTTGAAAATGATGGAACGATCTAATTCATCTCCGTCGTCTAAAAGTGTTTTTCTCGATATATACAGCATCATACTAAATGCTGTCGAGAACCCAACAAAATATGGTAATTGCAACTGATACCATGTTGAACGACCACCTCAGCCAAAAAGTTAAGCTATTAGCTATTGAAATGTATCATTTAATATTAATATCTCCAATATATTACAGGTTTTACGGAGCCTCTGAAGGGATGCTGTGGATCAGGAACATACGAATATGCGGACACGTGCAAGGGTTTGAGCACGTGCGCTGATCGGACAAAATATATATTCTGGGACGCAGTTCATCTCACCGAGAAAATGTACAAAATTGTTGCTGATGCGGCAGTGGAACTCCTCATCGGTCACATTTTCTAAGTACCGTAGCCCGCAATCTATTTTTTTTCCGACTACTTAAAAATAAATTAGAAAACATACGGACGCGACGCTATTGTTCGGAATTGATTATTATTAATATAGATTAATTATTATGTGTACGTTAATGATGAATCAATAGAGCATCAATTACAGGGCGAAGGGATTGAAACATGACGAAATATGAACGTTGCGTTGGGTGAATTGAATCCCAAAACACAAATTTGTTTGCATCCGAACAAAGTCGGGATTCCCTGTTGCACAAATACGACGCTTCCAATAATCCCGTTCCGCAGCAGCCACTGCTAACCTCCTCAAAATCTACATACCCCTCGCAAAAAAATAAAATAATACAATTTTTCGCATCTCGATTAATTAGTACATATATAATTGTGATGAAAAATTCAAAAAAATAGATATGGATAGCTCACCATATTTGGAGCCTAATAAGATCATGTCATGTAAAGGTCCATAAATATCTATGTAAGCAATTCGAGACCGAGACTGTTGGGGTTGCTTAATTTGCATGTCTTTCAATTGTTTTTCGAGCATTTCGTTATAATTTCGAGCTACGGACGAGAAATAGTCGATGCAGTCACGTTTACCGTGGTTGTCGGTGTAAAGGGTTATTACAACAGGCAAGCACCCCATTGGGGGAAGCCCCGCCACTCCTATTCGCCGACCACCTTCATCCAATAATCCCTGAAATAATTAAATCTTGGCATTATATATAACACTTTCACACATTTAAAACACGTGACCTAATTTTAAGTTCAATATATATATATAGGACCTGAAAAAATTGGCGAGCATGTTGTAGGAGGAAAGTGGTGTAGGTTGGGATAGTGTAGGTACGACGTCGTATTGGCATGGTGAAATAATTTACGACGAAGTCATTTGTGCCGGCACTAACAAAGTATATGGCGTTATTTATCAGCTCCTTGGTTTTGTCCTTCCCAACTGCCGCCTCCACTTTTGCTTTATACTCTCTGAACTGTTCCAACTGCTCCCACATCGATATCACACTCTGCATATATAATATCAATTAATTCTAGCATCAGTATGATCAGTATCAATATTAGTATCAATATCAGCATGAGAGAGAGAGAGAGAGAGACGCTTATTGCGGGTGTAAGCGGGTCGAACCCGGATCCAGCAGAGGCGAAACTGACACCGGTCATAAGTTCCTGAATGGAGAGCGTTGGATCGAGATAGGGAGGCACGTAATCTTTGATTCCAATGTATTGAGAAATAAAATCATTGGCAAGGCGGCCGTTGGTAAACCTTCCGGTAGGTGTGTGGTTGAGAAAATCTTTGCCATATGGCGGGAAATTGCTCTGAAAGTAAGTTGATATGTAGTTATTGTTTCCGGGATCTGCAGTCGAGTCGCCGAATATGAAAATGGCTGAAACTGACGATGACGACGATGATGAGCTGGCGAGTTTTGCATTGGCAGCTGCTGTAAACAAAATCACAAGCACAAGAGCAGATAAATAATCCATGAATATTAATATATAAATATTTGTTAAGTGGTGCTGCCTTAGAGAAGATATATATATAACTTATAAGTACATTTAGGTTTTAATTTGTTTGTATTTTGTTAGGTTAATTTGGTGGGATATTTTTATTGCAGGCAACTACCCAAAACCCATATTCTGAATGTGTAATAACTATCTAACAGGAGCAATTAAGATTGTTTTGGCAGACTGAAACAGGGGGGAAAAGATGTCTACTTATTAATTTCATTTTAGGTAGTACAACTACGTATATCCGCTAATTTCATTTTAGGTAGTACAACTACGTATATCCGCACGCATGTGCCCTTTTTTGGTAGTGATGTCAAAATTAAAATTAAGCTGCCGATTAATTATTTCATTAATTATTACTTGTTAATGTTGGTTTGATGCATGCACTAACTTTCATAAACTATAATTATAAAATCTGCCCTAATCACTAAACCCTTGTGTAACTATTTGAGTATTGTAATTAATTAACTGGTGGAGCTTTCTCAAAAAAAAAAAAAAAAAAAAAAAATTAACGATAACAATGATTGTTTCAGGAGTGACGATCGTAGGATATTATTACACGACAAGTTTAAAATTTATGATGCTCCTCAAAGGTGAAAATTAGATAACTAACAAAAAAATATGGGCAAATTACAACTGCCCCCGATTTAAGGTCTATTTACGAAAAAACTGATCATTGTTTCATATTAGGATAGGCCTCCAGGCCAGCTTCTGCATCAGGCCACTCAGCCCAATTATAATAACATGCGATTGCGATTTATTATTATTACAAGTATAATAATTAAGGTAATTAAGTGTAGTTATTTTGAGTTTTCCAACTCATCTAATTCATTTTTGTTGACAAAGATAGAAGAATATAAGTTATAAGTAAAAGAAAATGACATGGGTCGAGAATTAGTACAAACAATTCATAATGAAAATAAATATATGTAATAATTAAGGTGGAAATGGAATGGTTGGTTAAATAAAAATCTGATCAATCGCCGGACGAACTGACTGAAAGATATGAAAGTAAGCAGCTTCAGTTGGGTGAACGGCGTCCCAGAACACATACTTTGACTCGTCGGAGCAAATTACAGAGTACGGATTGCACAAAATTGCTGTCTCTATTATTCCACTTCCACAGCAACCCTTGTTCACTTTCTCCAAACCTTTAAAATAATATTTTTACTTATTTATTTAAAACATTATATTAAAAAAGAAAATTAAATGAAAGTGAAAAATTAAATACCGAATTGCTGAGGGTTTTTGACCATGTCCTCAATCGGGTTGTATATGTCGATGTAAACAATTTTAGCACCGTGACTTTGCGTTGACTTCTTCAGTTTGCTCTGGAGCAAGCGGTTGTAATCACGCGCGACGGAGGACAGCCGTTCGATGCAGCCGCGTTTCGTGAAGGCGTCGAGAGAGTTGGCGGTGATGACAGCTGGCAAGCATCCAACTGGTGGTAGCCCCACAAAACCAATCCTCCGCGCACCCATCTCCAGTAGACCCTGCCACACCATATTACCTTTTAATTATGTTTTCATTAATTAGTTGTAATTATTATAAGTTTATAATTGTGTACATATCTTAAAAAATAATAATAATGTGGCCCGCGGCTCATAAATAATAAGAAGGTCCATTCTATTCAACAGGCAATGGCTGTCATGCATCACTCAAAACAAAACTACAATGCAAGTTTTAACCACATGTTTATGTCAGTCGCCATCTAATATATATCCAAATTTGAAATTTTATTCAACTATTTATCAATCAATTTTTCATTATTTTAAAATACACTCTCTTATCAAATCAAGTCCAAAAATGATTAGATTTTGTTATTTACAGGACCACTTCATGAAGAGACATGTCATTTCGAAAACACCAATTAAACACCTCATATATATATATATATATATATATATATATATATATATATTTAGTTTCTAGTGTTTATAATAATGTATTTCAAGTAGGGATTTGTAGATGTTACATGCACCGGTGAAACACATCGGGTGATCTTGAACCATTAATTTATACATAATATGTACACCATATGTGTACGTGTCTACTGTGTAGTTCGTTATTTGCATAGATAGATTTATAGTGCAAAATCAACCGAGGTAGCTCTATATTGCCTATAAATGCACGTGATGTAGCAGTTCAAACTCTATTATATATAGGTATTGCTTTTACTAGCTAATGATAATAACAATTTTTTTTAAATTTACTAAAGGAAACACAAATTAATTAATATGAATTAAAAGATAACGAGATGCATGCGTGTATGTATGTATGTATGTATTTATACTACCTGCAAGAGGCGTTGGGCAATTTGAAGTAAGAAATCCTGGTAAGTAGAAATGGAGTAGGTTTGGCTTCGAATAGGTGGACCAAAATAGTTCAAGATAAAATCATTGGTGCCTGCACTTATTACGAACAAGCCCTTGTTTATCATATCTGTGGTCCTCTCCTTCCCAATCTTGCCCTCCATTTTGGCTTTGTACTCTTTAAAATACCCCAGTTGCCTTTCTATAGGTATTACACCCTGTACACACCCATAACAACATATATGACAAATCCAACTATGTGTTACTAGATATATATAACCTTTTTATTATTATTATTATCATTATGAGAGAGAGAGACGCTTAATTGAGCAGTAAGCGGGTCGAACCCGGTTCCAGCAGAAGCAAAACAAACTCCGGTCTTTAATTGATGATCTAAGCCGAAGGTTGGGTCCAAGTACGCCGGTACATATTCTTTGATGCCCACGTATGCAGCTGTTATAAGTTACAAACATAATGCATATTATTATTAACATAATGCAAATTATGAACATAATGTAAATAGTAAAACATATATATATATATATATATATATATATATATATATATATATATATATATATATAGAGAGAGAGAGAGAGAGAGAGAGTTAGGGTGTGCTATACCCAAAAAATCGGTGACGAGACGGCCGTTTGTAAACCGTCCGGTGGGAATGTGGTTAGGGAAGTCTCTGCCATAAGGAGGAAAGTTGCTTTTAGTAATGGTTTTGATGAAGTTATTGTTGCCGGCGTCAACTGTAGAATCGCCAAACACGAATAATGCAGGAACGTCTGAAACGTTATGGGTAACCGGGCCTGGGATGATCCGGCCCGTCAAGCTTCTTCGGGCTTCAGCAAAGTTAGACATCAAAACGAGCAGGTAGAAAATTATTAGAGGAACAGGGCGGCATGAACTGGAGGGAGACTGCATACTTGGCTTGTTAGAAATTATTTGAGCAATTGTATGTATTATATGTCATATGTTTATGTCGTTTTGCACCTAGTATCATGTGTATGTGTCTATATATATATATATATATATATATATATATATATATATATATATATATATATATATATATATAGTATGAGTACACTGCAAAAACTACCCCTGTGTAATCTCGAAATAGCAAAAACCCCCCTGTGATAAATAAACTAGCAAAAACCTCCCCCATGAAATTATTTAAATAGCAAAAACCCCCCTATGGAACTATTTGAGGGTTGACTTGATATAAAAAGACACAAATACCCCTGGAGTCTTGCAATTAATAAATTCTTATATTTTATAAATATTTTAATTATTTTATTTAAAAAATAATCAATTTAGTTGTTTACTATTTTTTTTAATTTCTAAACAAACAAATTAAAAAGAATAAATATACATATAATATGTATATATATAAATACATTTTGAGGGACAATTTTGTCATTTCAAGTCTAAAAATCAGCTAGGGGGGATTTTGCCTTTGACTAAATTTCACAGGGGGGTTTTTGCTAGTTTATTTATCACAGGGGGGTTTTCGCTATTTCAAGATAACACAGGGGTAGTATTTGCAGTTTACTCTATATAGTATTATGGTGGTAGGTATCAAATTACAAATATACCATGCATATACTAATTAACTACTATTATATGAGTAGAAAATAATTAGCAGATGTGTTTTAATTCCTTCAATTGACGAGTCATGTGCTACTTTTAGTGCTGTCGGGACCCAGCTTCTTTTAATTATCATTGAATCATTATTATCTTTTTTTTCTTTTTCTTTTTATGAAATTAATTCATTATTGTCGAACAGTATACATATTTGGAGGTATGCTGTAAGAAATGCATTGTAAAATATATATATATATATGAACGTGACAATGCGATAACAACCTTGGTGATTGTTATACTCAATGCCAACTTTGTTAATTAGTTGTAAGTTCAGTCTTAGTCTATGGGTCACAAATTTATCATGGAAAAAATATTCTAATTAAACCGACGACCCGTCTTGCTGATAAAAATGGCCCACTAGCATTATGACATGTGTATATTAATATTAAACTGAGTATTATTCAACTTCAAAGACGTTAAGCTGGTGTTTGCAAATGCTTTTTGAAAGTGATTATGCGGTTTTTTTTTGTTCATAATCTGTTTTTAGGTGTTTGTAAAATCAACTTTTGTTTTTGCTTCTCTTAAAATAATCTGCTTTAAGCTATTTTTTTTAAAAGCACCCATAACCCTACTTTTTTCAATTTTAGTTCATTTTCCGAAATATTTGCAAACACCCCAAACTTTTAGAAATAAGCACTTAAAACTAACTTAAATCACAATCACTAACTTCTGCTTTTAAATAATCATTTGCAAACACCACCTAAATCGACTAATAATTTAATTGATGAAGAGGGTATAAGTGGTAATTAAGGCTAAGAGAGGGTATTGTATCAAGTGGTAATCAGGAATTAGGATACTTAAGAGATACTACTGGTAATTAATTTTATAAATGCAATTGGAATTGACTTTTCAATCCTCCTACTTTTTCTATATTACACAATCTATCCATAGTTTTGACAAAATCAGCATATTGACCTCTTTTAGCACGTCACCTCTTTCTCTGCTAGCTAGCATTCTTGATTTATTGCTGCAAATCCCCTTTAGAACTTTCCTACAAATTAAAATACACAATAAAGATTGCTTCTTCATGAAACAATCATCATAAATGATTAGTATACATCGAATGTTCTACATAGGACGATTAAAAATAAGGATTAAACAAATAAATAAAACAAAGTCTTAGCTTGGGCTGATTATCTTAATCATCCGTAGTATCATCCTTGAAGTTTGCTAATCATGTCTTGCAACACAAGTTATTACCTCAGTTCACATTCATAAAAAAGAAAGCATATTATATAACTTAGGCCAAATTCTTATCAATATATATATATATACACACAATTTATGATTTATATACATACATTAAACTTTTGAGAAGCATGGCTGTTGATATGCAGCAGAGTGAATCTTCATCGTCGGAAGCGATTCTCGAAAACGTATGGGCGAATTTCATTTCGAAAACCAATACGCATAACGACGAAGAATCGAATATGTTCGAATCATCACCAAAATCATGGGAAAAGTTGCCTAGCTTCGATAGAGAAGAGTCAATCGAGACAATAATCTTAGAGAGGCTGCCAAGTTTAGGCAGATGGATATCGATGGGAGCCGAGGCGTGGGAACAGCATCTCGACGGAATATTCCTTCCTACAACCACCACCAAGGACAACAACATTAAAACAACAGAAATCACGGCCGATATTCATTGTACTAGAAAACCTGGTAAAGTAGCAGCCGTTGCCAAACACTACAGGGGAGTGAGAAGAAGGCCGTGGGGAAAATACGCGGCGGAAATACGAGATTCTAGAAGAAAATTCGGGGCCAGAGTTTGGCTTGGGACTTTCGAAACAGCCGAAGAAGCTGCCATGGCGTACGACGAGGCTGCTCTGAGAATTAGAGGCCCTAACACATATTTAAATTTCCCTCTCGAAAAAGTTGTTCGAACAGGGGCGTCCCTAGTGCTAGAACGGCACTCGGG